TTTCCCCTCCCGCCCTCGGCACAGGTTGTTGGGTCGGGACAGCAAACGAAAGGGGATTTAGTAACAAACAACGGCGGCCATGTTGAGAGGAATTTCTGCAGCTAAACTTCTCCCCTCTCAGCCCAGGGATTTCTCTCCCTCTCTGGGGGGCTCCCTGGCCTAACTTTGTGCCCCCCTCTTTTCTCTCTCTCTTCCCCAACAGGATGACAGTGAAACTGGGAGAGAGCAGCGGGGAGGAAGGGGTGAAAAAGCTGGGCAAGAGAGCAGGAGGAGATGAGGAGTCCCTGGAAGAAGAAGGGGCAGGAGGAGGAGGAGAGGCAGCTCCAGGCAGCAGCAGCACAAAGAAGGAAGAGAAGATTATTAACAACAACACTAACAGCAGCCCCCCACCGAACCCCAGCTTATCGCAGGCCCCGGCCTCCCTCCAGCCCTCCCACAGCCAGGACCAGCATCATTTTCTCAGGTCCAGCGTCAGACCTCAGAGCAAGAGGCTGAAGAAGGATTCCCAGGCATCCTCTTCAGTTGGCAGCAGCACTGCTGCAAAAGGCAAAGGTACTGTGTTGGGCACCCTTAAAACACGCGGGGCAAGGGGGTGGCCGTGGGTGGTAGTCACCTGTGGGTTTGGGGGTTGTCATTCTCCTCCTGTAGATGCCATCTTTTGTTTGGTTTTGGGGAAGGTGTTTTGGGGCTTGTTTCTCGCAATAGCTGAAATCTTCTTTGTGTCCCAAGGCTTCAGCTTCTTGGCTGCCCGCTATCCTCTTTGCACTTGCAGAAATGGGAGGTTTGGATGTGTATGTGGAGGAGGAAAAAATCTCCATTATTGAAGCAAACCTTTAAGTTTTGCATTTCATCTCTCTTGAGTTTTAGGAAATCCCTGTATTTTGGTTAGGAAATTAGACTCTAGCTAGCTGTGTAATCAGGTAGCTGCACTCTGAATTCTGTTCTTGGATAATAACAAAATATTCACTAGGTGCTAGTTAAAAAAGGGAAGAAAGACCCAACCCACAAGACACTGGTGATTTCTCCCAATTATTTCTGTGACTGTTTTACCCAAAGAACTATTCTGGAAACAGCTATGAAATGCATATATTGACATATCTATTTCTAAGGTTTTATGAGTCCTGTATTACTGTTTCAGAACAGTTTGGGCATTTCCATGTAATTTGAGTTTTTGTTAAGACTGTTTTGGATATGTCTGAACATATGTACATACATACATACACATGTTCTTTCACTTTAGCATTGTAGATAAGAATTTGATTTTTTTCAAGGCTGTTTCTTACTGGAGTAGCTACAAGACAGCAGGGATATTTTAATATCTTGGTGCTATTGTGTGTGCTCAGCAGCTACTGGATGACACCTGGCACTGTAGTTGAGCTGTACTTGAGACTAATTTTTGATAACTTGTGCAAAAGTACTCAAGTGTTATTTTCTGTTAATTTTTGAGGAAGAACAACACTCGGAGAGTTCTTCAGCATTTGAAATAACAAAGTTTACTCTTGTTTACTAAAGTGAAATAAAACTCCATGTAGCATAAATGTGTCTTGGAGCTTACCTCACTCTTTGGTCCATTGCAGTGGTATGCACATGCTGGATATTAGGTAAAGGTTATCAATTTTGGTGGTTTTGTGTTACAGTAATGAAGCAGTGCAAACTGTGATATTTTAGTTATTGCCAAATCAGGAAAAAAGTCTTGAACTCAGTTGCTTGACAGTTTATATAATTGACTGAAGTATTTTTTTAATACCTTAGTAAGTCCTCTTTAATTTCTTAAACTTTTTGTTTCAAGTGGGGAAACTCCTGTGTGTGATGTTGGAGGACAGAACAGAAAGGCCTACATAATTTTTCTCCCAGTTGCGTTATAAACCAAATAAACAGATGGAATACCCAGGAGTGTTTAGCTGCAGATAATTATTTCAAAGCTTGTAAGTAGTATTAAATGCGAGGAGATGTTTCTTTGGCATACACGTTGTCCATGATTGACAAGCCAAATATATGAGTTTGAAATTACTCCATTGTTTTCAGAGTGTATACACATATGAACAACATAAATGTATCTTTGTGCATGTGTGTATTCATGTTTGTATATTAGTACATAAACAATAATTTCCAATTATAGAGCAGCAGAATGATTTTTAACTAGGTGTATTGACACAGTTGAAAAGCGAACTGTGTTTATTTTGCAATTCAGATTCCAAAATAGCCCTAATAAAACTATTTACAGAACGGGCAATATTATTTCAGTAACCGGTCATAGATAGTGCTTGTAATCACTGTACCTATGTTGTCAGGTTTGGGGAAACTTCTTAAATCATTGGGGGTGACAGTCTGTGGTAAAATTACGGTTATGCTTTCACTTTTTGAATTGTAAGACCAGCCATAGCTCTGCCTGGCTAGTTTTGATGTGAAAGCATTGAAGTTGATTTCTCTGATATGGTTGAGATTATGACGCTCAGATCTTGGAGAACAGAGCCACGGAGTGGGATCCTTTCTAATTTGAGTTCTTTACATTCAGGGATGCATACTGAGAGGTTTTCCAGGCTTGTCTGAATTCTCCCTAATGGAATGTCCTGTGATCAGAATTTATAGGGCTTTAAGTTCCAAGTGAAGTGTCTGACAGAGCTAGCTTCCAATAGAGAACTAATGGAAGGGTGAAGATTACTAACAAAGATTGTACTTAAATCCTTCCACTTGCTGTCCCACCCACTTTCTCCTCCCCCGTAAGTATAAAAATGATGAAGAGCTTGAATGCATGTGCTTTGGATCAGCTCTGAAAACTGGAAGCTTTTCCATTTTACATGTCAGTCAAAGTGATAGCTGCAAAGGTAATTTTAACATTGGCCGGCAGGAGTGTCTAGACCGCACTTACACTTGGTCCAGTGAAACCAGAAACTTGGTTTTTGTTGTGGTCTTTCAATAATGCTGTGTAACCCTTAAAATTTTATTAAAGTAGTCCTGCAGTCCTACAGAATCTCTGTTGTAAGGTGAAAACTCTTTCAATGGCTATTATTAAGGAGTGTAATCAATAAAGTTAATTTCTTTCAAATTGTGGTTACTCGGCAGGCATTGACTTGTCCTATCATGTCTTTTAAAAGAGTTTTGAAAACAGGTTTTTTTTTTTTGGCTGTTGCAGATCCCTTTCTACTTTTAACATTTGTACTTTTAGGGTACTTCATTGTAGCAGACAAATTATTGATAAACTAAACTTTACTGTAAACAGAAGGAAGAGTTTGCCCACTCAGTAGCTGCTGACTTTTCAACTTTACCTTGCTATGTTTCAGGGAAGATTGTTAATAACAATTCTCAAATTCTGCCTAGTAGAACGTATAAACCTATTGCTAATTTTCAGATTACCCTGGTGTAATCCTTAATTGTATTGTTGGATTCTGTCTCTCGTCTGTTGTGTACTGAGTTGTACTCTTGAGTTTAGGGCAAAAATGGCATAGAAAGAAGCATAGTAAAATAAAATTTGGAAACTATTTCACTTCAAAAAGCCAATCCGTATTGAATGGCTGAAAGGTTTATCAAATTTCCTACACAAATATCTAAATATTTGGTTTTTTTTTTTTTTTTTAGAATTATTACCATCTTACTTTCAAGTATTGGTCATAATTTTATTGTATTTTTCAGTTTTGTAGTCTAAACGTCAGTGCACACCTTTTGAAGTATGAATGCTTGGAAGTACTTTTTAAAGTAACCTGCATGAAATCAGAGGAGGAACTTGAAGGAATAGTGGGGGGTCGAAGCAGTTTATTGTGAGAGTTCAAAAGCAAGGAGGCTCATTGAGGGAGAGGAAGCAGATCAATATAAGGTTGCTGAAAAAGAGAGATTTCCAAGAGTTTACTTCTCGAATGCAAATATGCCACATGGTTGCTGAGCAGAGGTTTTAAGGTGTGTTTTGTGGGTTGGTTGGTTTTTTTTTTTTCCATGCAGCAAGAGTGGTTAGAATATATGTGTGTGTGTTGTGACCACGTTGGTAAAAGCAAATGCGGAATACGCTGCCATCATGTGCTGTAGATTTAGTTTGAACTAGAGCAGAGTGTTCCCATTTCCGTGGTTTTATCCATTTTCTGAATGAAGAATGAAGTCAGGAGGAAATATTAGCAGAGTTTAATGGTGATGACCTGAAGCTTGAAGAAGTCTTTTGTGCTGTTGCTCTAGATTTATTTGTAAAATGTGTAGAACGGCCCAAACAAGTGTTTGGATTTGTTTTGCAGTAATAAGCAGTTCTTTCTTGAAAAAAGAATTATTTGGCTGGAAGCATTAATTGAATTAAAATGTTCTATCTTTTGACATCATATAAAATTTGCTAGAAAGCAGACCAGTTTGTTTCAGCCCACCGAAGTTGCATGTTCCATAGCATGTGAATTAACTACTTTCTTTTCCTGTGGAGTGGATGCATATACCAAGGTACCTGATGTATGTACTTACAATACGATTTTATTGTATCTTCCCAAATTTGCATGCTGCAGAATGTATTGTAACCTTCATTTGAAATGTCATTCCTCCAGCATTATTTCTCTAGAGCATGAATGACTTTAAAAACTGCTCGCACAGTCCCCTGTTCGAATATTCTCCTTAATTCTGTTCACCTAGTTTACACTTGGTACTTCTCTTTCCATCCTACCCTGACATGCTTTCATTCATTCCATTTACCCCGGTTCTCCCTCCCTTCCTTTGAAAGTGGCTCAGGACCAGAACTCCACAGTATCTCATCCTGCACCACAAGAGGAGGATATTTTTCATGTGCCCTGTGCAGTACATACTGAACTTTGAAAGGTGTCTGCCTGCAAGGCTGCACAGCCACGTGGTTTAGTTGGAACTTCATACTAGGCTTTCTGGGTGTTTTCTAATGGAAGACCAAGAGAATAATGATTTACTGGAGATGGGGAGTAACCAAATTTATAATGAACCATGTTTATTTTTTACAGCTATGCTTAGTTAGCTCAGATAGTGCTGCATTTGATAAAATATATATTAATTATATACTGACGGTAGAAAAGCAGGCCTTCAGTATGGTTTAATTTGTAGCTCCTGTTGATAATTGACACTATATATGTTTAAACACATTCAACTACATCTTGGTTGATGCAAATCTTAATAATAGGAAGCAGAAGAAGCTAGGCTAGTCTGTATCCTTGTAGGACAGTTACCTGTTGTGTTTAAAACTTTGGATGTTAATTCCTAACATATATCATGGTTGTATCATGCATATATAACCATGCAATATGGCATAAGCAGTCCTAGACTTATGTTTCTTAGGAGTCCATGCTATTTACTGTGGAGCCATACAAGATAGAAACTTGTTTTCCAGTTGTCATGTTAGTATTCAGAATGAAGCGTTGACTTGTTGGGAATGTGTTCGTCTCTCTCCTTCTCTTGTCTGTATTCTCTTCTCAGCTACAATTCTTAGAGATGAAGGCAAGTTGGATCCAGCCTGCAGCTTTATTGGGTTGTCCTTCCACAGAGCGAGTGACTTCACTTAAATTCCTAAAACGCACGCTTTCTGTGGGATCACCTGATTCATTTCTTCACTGAAGTATATGATGTAGTATCTGCCATTACAAAGATGTGTGGCTGGAAATGAGGCTTGTTTACCAAGTGATCAGAAAGAAAGCTTGGATGTTTATTTTTTCATTAAAATTGAGGAGTAAATGCTCATTGAGGAATGCTCTGGCATGAGAATAGCAGGATGCATTTGAAGCTTTCTGGAAAGCATAGATCGTAGCACCTTACCCAGTTCTGTTGGCAGCAGATGTTTCGATTGTACATTTCATAAGACTGCTGAGCACTAATGCAGGTTTGTGAGAATAAAATAGTCACTCAAAGATGTTTTCTGGTATGGCGTCCTTAATGGCAGTCTTTACCAAAACCAGTTTTGAAGGTGATCTTGTGTAGTTCAGCCTTGCTATTGGCTCCTGTAGAACCCAAAAGAGGAGAAAGAATGTTCTGAGGGAAACTTTCTGCCATGTTACAAGTTGGCATTCGCATTCTGCACCTTGAGGAGCGAGTTTAGCATTCTAACACTCTGCATTCGGCCTGCAGCATGCAAGAATCTGTGAAAGTACCATGTCCTTTATAAAGGTATTTCCTCGTAGATGGTCCACCTACAGTTGACTGATAACTCGTGGAGAAGTTGAGATTTTTGCAAGCTAAGCCTGTAGAACACCAGTAAGAGGCCCAGCCTGTGTGTTGAGATGCATGGGTATTGTGGGAATTAACTCTGAATTCCAGCTGCCATGGATGTGGAATATGTCATAGAAGATATGAATCAGCTGACATGTAAGAGCTGCCAATGGAAAATTGAAAAATAAACTCTGGAAGGAAGAACTTCTTGTGGCTGTAGCTGTGATAAGACACCGATACTATCAGTGACTCAATTATTTGATACGTGCAACGTTCTAGGGTTTGTCATTTTCATATCAGATTTTTTAAACTACAGTGTAAATCTCTTTTATATAAAATTTTTGCAAGTGATTGTGTTTTGCTTAGAACTACAAATATGACAGCATTCTTCTACAGAAGATGTAGTTTGGGATGGTGTTATGCTATCGACAGATAGATGAAGCTCTGATAATGAGGCATATAGATGGGTAGAGAACACCGGATAAAAGGAATTAATAAGTTTCTCTGAAATAGTGGTGTTCTGATCTGTGATTTTGTTGGACGTTGTAGTTCAAATACCAGGTACGGAAACCTGATGTCTTTGCAAACTCTGAGTTGAAAGCTGAGTGAAAATGCTGAGAGCTTAAACATCCCAGCTAGCTGCTCTGTACCTCACGTGCAGCTGCTGGTGCTCCACTGCATCCTGGAGTGAAGGGAAGGAATTGTAGCTGTAGTTGTGTGGAAGTCCAGTCCAGTAGTTGGGTAATGCAGGATAAGTAGACAGAGTGAGAATGACCATCTTGTCTTTGTAGCATCTGCAGTGATCTCCTTTAAGAAATGATTTTACTTAGAACAAGCACCTAACCAGATTGTTAAGAGTAAGCCCCCTCCCTCTCTCCAGCAATTCTGCAGTGTGGCTAGCCTCAATGGACCTGTTTGTTTTAATGCATTACTTGAGTATTAAATAATCTGTTGTTGGGAAATAATGATCGTCATGATCTATTGTTAGTGAAGGGATGAAAACTTGTTGGCTGTTTTTGTATGTTACAAGAATCTCATACAGTAAGATTGAAAGAATAAATGTATAGGGTTTAATTTAATGATGTATGAATACTTTTTCTTTTGCATTTTAGCCTTAAACTTTTTAATAATGAAAACTTCATATGTACCAAGTGTACTGTACAATCTTCAGAAAATCCTTTGTAGATCTGAACTTTAGGCAGCTACTTTAGGTTTTTACTTATTTGAGTATGTCTACAGTGATGTAAAGAAACCCAACCAACCAACTCCCAAACTCCTGCATTTGTGGTTCCTGTAAATGATTTCTCAGAAAGTTAGAGGTCTGTGATCAGAACAGTAACTCTGGAATAGAATCCTGTAGCTATCTTTTGATAAAGGATGTCTTTCGTATTGGGAGCTAGTAGCAACAGGAGATTGTAGATCGAGATTGAGGACTAATGTGTTTTGAATTCCCCTTTCTTGAATGAAGATTTTAAATATGAAGATCTGTATTTCTTTACCATGAAAATTGTGATAGTCTAATCTCATATTTGCAAAATAAAGAAGCAATTCTGTGTCTTAAAATTGTTGGTTTTCTTCTCAGCCACCTATTAAAGTGCTCAGGTTTTTCTAATGGTTTCTTTTTTCCCTTTTTTTTTTTTTTTTTTAAGGCTTTACCTTCGCAGTACCAGAATTAAATTGCTTACCTTTCAATTAATTTATCAGTGGCTGATGAATGCTTTAGGAAATAGAGAAGCTATTTATTTGAGAAGTTGTTTTTAAGTGCATTTTCTTCTAAATGTCCATTTCTTTTTCATGTTTTGCCTTAAATGCTTCCCTGTGGTGACAGTAATTTTCTTCGAAAGGATCAAATAGTCATTCCTAGAAATAAAATACTAATCTTAAAAATGGTCACAATATCATATTTTATATCAAGTAAATATTTGTTGTATGCAGGAAAAAATGTACTTTCACGCATCTTTCTCTCGTCATGATTTGGTTTCAGATGTTCTTTGTTACTTGAACAAACAGCTTTTTAAGGGTTTTTTTAGCAATATGGTTTTGTCATCCAAAGGAATTACTTTCAAATTCCAACTGAATAGTTACAGTTAACATTTACATACAAGTCTTTCAAATCTCTAAAGCATAATAAGCCCATAACAGTTGATTATTCTGATACCCTTTTTAAAATAATATTAGGAATATCAAACTGGATGTCCCAGTTCTTGAACAAGATATATAGGTATGTATGTATATATATAAAAACACTGACTTTGTCAGGTAAACAAACTGCTTCGTATAATTGAATTTTAAAAGATAACTTTTAAAGCCTAAATATGAAAGAGAGAACTGTGCTAATGTGTATAAAAGTTCGGGAAGCTAGTTCGAAGTGCTGTATTGTGTAAGCTGGATTTATAAGCAAAGAAACTAAGGCAAGCCAATTTATCATGAGATAAAAGACAAAACATGAAGGACAGTAACCATAAAAATGGAAACAGTAATAAGCTTTTTAAATAATGAACAATGTATGTTTCATGTTAAAAGGCTTCTGTTTTATTAAGTACTTGCCTGCATTGATAAGGGCAGTCAAATCTTAACTAATACTTTGTAGCAAAATTGAAAAGAATATATTTTGGAAATGTAAGTTACTGAGAATGGCTACATTTTTGTGGAAAAAATGAGTGCACTTTTTGGGAGGTCTCCCTGGTTTCTGGATTAAAATTCTGATAATCTGTTACAGTGTCAAACCAAGAATGATGTTTGGTTTGATTTCTGTTGTGAATAAATCACAGGTTTAAGGTTAGTTGATAATGTTTTTGCTGATTAAAATGTCTTTGAAAGGCTAATAGTTTCAGAGGCGATTTAAGGGGGGGAAAAAAAAAAGGCTTTTTCTTCTGAATTAAGGTGAGGGAATGGAATGTAGTTCTCACCTTCCTGCAGTTTCTCCATCCCGTTTTCTTCCCTGTCCCCTACTTGCATAAACAGCAAATTCTCTTGGTTCCATCAGGCCTTATCCTCATATAAGTATTTGTATTATTATCATCTTTGTATGTATTATCATCCTTGTATTTTTTTTTTTCTGATCCGTGTTCTTTGGGGTGCCAATAACTGACAGAGGTACAATCAAGATTATACTTCTGTGCATTTTTCCAAAAGCCACAGCAGGATTTGGGGAAGGAGAAGGAGTTGGGACTTGCCATCTTTGGGGTACCTTGAATTATCCTAGATGGGCTAAGTGTCAGAGGTGATGCTCTTTATACAGAGGATCAGATTCTTGAGAATGCTGATCCATTGTCATGTAATGAAATAAAGTAGACATCTACCACACGTATTTCAGAGGAAGTAGGATCAAGACCAAAGACAAGGATATGAAATTACATATATTTTATCATGGTTTGCTTTATTGGTGACGTCAATGTTCAGCATTGCTCAGAAGTTCCCCTCAACACAAAGGGGCAACTGCAGAGCATACCAGGGTATAAGTGTCAGAGACTGTGTTGTCTTTTAGAGGTTGCTTTGGTATATTCCTGCTTATCTGTCTTATCTCTGGAAATAAAAAATTAAGCCATTGAAACCTTCCCCTTGTTTTTTTTACTCTTTCAGATTTTTGTTTCTTTAAAAAAACCCTTGTTATTTGCCTATGGTATTTCAGGTGAAATATCTTGGAAAAAACCTGATATATATGGGAGTGGTGAAGGAGGAGGAAATTCTGAGTTCCTTATCTCTATCCGTGAATCCTCCTGTTGGTTTAATACTCACTCTGGTCAAATTTTTTTTTGCAGCAGCAGATAATGGAGGGACTGCATCTGGTGGCACATCTGGAATTCCTCCCAGCAATCCTGCTGGGAATTCCAAGTCAGCAGCAAGGAACCTGGGCTCCTCGGCTGGAGAGAAGGAGGAAGGAAAGAAGGTCAGACGTCAGTGGGAATCGTGGAGCACAGAGGACAAAAATACTTTCTTCGAGGGACTGTATGAGGTACTGTAGAGGAAAATAATAAGCTTAGATGGCTTCATGTAGTATCTGGATATTCCTAAAGGACGTTGATTTGATTGAGATTTTCAGGAGCAAAATGCATACGTACGCATACTCGTGTCTATGCGGTTGGCTGTAAAATAGCTGTCAATCAAAGCCACATTTCAAAAGTGTCAAGCTTTTTTTGTTTGTTTTGAAATACACAGGAAGTATTTGTGAGCTTTATTTAGTTCTCATTTGAAACAGAACAGTAATTGAAAAATAATTTAAATTATTACAAATGTTCATGAATAATGTCCCCATCTCAGCTTTCCAAAGCAACACACTTATGCTGTAATATTAGCAAACAAGAAAATATGTTATATTCTAATAAGAATTGTAGGCACTGTGTTCAGTCTTTGACCACAAGAATGTTTGAGACAGTTCAGTACTATGCCTGAGAGACAAAGAAGTATTAGATCATCTTATCTTTTATCTCATATGATACATGCGATTTATTCCTGGTTGTGCTGTTCCTATGATTATTTTAACAGCGCTTCTGTTACGAAAATACATACTAAAGGTGAAAACAAAAGAAGTGGTGGTGGGTTTTCTTTGCATGTGTGCATTTTTTTAAAAGTGTTTTTTAGTTGTAGGCATGATTCACATCTATATATTTTGTACCAAAAAATGAACACTTAAACACTCACTTGCAGTAATATTCCTGGGAATCGTATAATTTTTAAGTTCCTTCATCACTCAAAGAAAACGAGTTTTTTTTGAATGCTGAGGAAAAAGTTCCACTATTTGCTCTAAGATGGATTTGGGACTCTGATTCCACACTTCCATTCATTTTGTATCACTACTTTTCAAAAGAGGTTTTCACGCTTTGTATTTTAATCAGATCCACCCTTTTTGGAATATTAAGAAATTTTGTGATAGCAGGAGTTTAATAATTATATAAAATTAAATTTTCCTCTTTTGAACTCCCAGGATTTTATAGGAATTTGCTAGTTTTAAAGGGACGTCTAAGTGTTTCATTTTTATTTTTATCCTGACAATAAACTTCTGAATGACCTACAGTGTAAAAATGTGTTTTCTGTAAGGAGTTTTTTATTTAAAAAATATATATAATATTTTCCTTCATTATTTGAAACTCAAATTTTATACTTCTCCTAACTGGAACGTGAAATATTTTGTAAATAAAGGTGAAGCTGTTAAATATAATAGGCTTTTCATTCACCTTCATCAGAAATGGAGGTAGAAGAGAGAGGAGGAAAATGCAGAGGAAAGTAAAGAAAGCTATGTGAGAAAGTTGGTGTTTTCAATTCTGCTATTCAGTACGTTTATGAGTGAAGTGGTGGTTTGTTTTTTTTTTTTTTAAAGTTTGCTAGCAACTTACAGTTTTTATTTTGAAACAGTTCAAGAAATTGGAAGGTAATTTTTTTTAGCATCTATAATACATTTTATGTAAAATAAAGGAAACCAGTGTCATTCTTTTGCTGTTGAGTTGTGATACTCAAGAATTTTGTTTATGACAATTGAAATCTAATTTCCCACACGGAACGCCAAAGTCCATCATGTTGTTTGAGTTGTCTTATGACAAGATACATGTTTGGTTTGAATATTTGGATTTGTTTTATTTATTCTTCAGCATGGGAAGGACTTTGAAGCTATCCAGAACAACATTGCCCTGAAATACAAGAAGAAAGGCAAACCAGCAAGCATGGTGAAGAATAAGGAACAGGTTCGCCATTTCTACTACCGCACCTGGCACAAGATCTCAAAGTACATTGACTTTGATAATGGTTAGTATGCAATGAAATGGGCTTAGTGTAAAGCTCAGTCTCGCGAGGGTTGGAGTCCTGCCTTTAGTGCCATCATGGAGGGTAGGAATGGTGTGGATGAGAAAATAAATACCGAATAGGATGTCTGTGAACATGTCTTATTTTTATTAGCATGGCCATACTGAGGTTCATGGTTTTTGAAAAATACTTCTCAAAACCTGTTATTTGTATCACTGCTTTTGTATCAATTTACCACACCATAATAAATGCTGATCCTACTATTAATACTTGGAAAAGTCAGGTTCAAGGAGATGGTTTTCTCTTCTCAGAAACACACCTTTGAGGACAGCTACCTAAATGTTAGTCAGGTATGACTTCATTGAGCAAATTGACTCCAGCACTACTTTGCATTTCTTGGGGAAAGGTAGAAATAAACAAATAGTCTGATACAAGTGTAAATGGTGAAATATTTGCTCGCACTTTAAATAAGCCTGAAATTGTATCATTGTTTCAGTAACTTAGGATTCCCAGTGCCATATTCCCCTCTTCCCATTCTTTTCCCTCCTTCCTCAGCTTGTTGAATGAAAAGGAAATTGGGAAGTCATAGGAACTGCTAGTGGTGTTTTGTAACAATAATAGTAATATATGATCATTGATAATTGATTTTTGTCAAATGCATACTATTCAGTAACAGGCAGTGAGAATTCAAGTCAATTTGCAGGTAGCCTCATCTGAATACCGGGTTAAAGAAATCCATTTCACTCCAAACAGATTTTTCTAAGACCCAGTTCTTTTGACTTCTTTAAGGTATGAAGAATGCATGTTCTCCCATTAGCTTCTTGATTAAGTAAAGGTCTCCAGGGCTTTCCTTCTGATGCTATATTCTAAGTTGCATAAATCATGGCAGTCTCATGGTGGTTGAATGTTCTGGTCTTTAAACAACTCTCTTTAACATCAGCGTAAGTTTGGATAGTAAATTCATCTATATGATTTGTGGCCAGAGCCTCTCAAGTTAAAATAACTCATTAATGAGAAATGGATATGACTAGAAAAAGCTGAAGGAATGCAAAGGTAGTGTACAATATAATCTCTTTATGAAATTTTGTCTGTTCCTGAGATTTGGTTATCTAAAGGAGGACTTACACATTTAAAACATTTGTCTTAAGGTGTATTTTTAAGTTCCTTTTTCAAAACAGTTCAGCATTTTAAGATGAAAGCCATTAGTATTTTATTTAAAAATAAATGTTACAGCAAGCACAACATGGAAGAACTTAAAAAAAAATGTCATGGAGGAACTTAATCTGTTTTCTGGCTAACAAAGTTTTGTATCTATACCTATAAGGTCTGAAATCTCATTGGCTGAAGGAATTTAAGAATTAGTGCAGTAGTGTGATTAGCTTTAGTATTGGTAGAAATAGGTGTGCCTGGATTTTGGGATTACAGGAGTCTGCAAGTTAAAGAGCTGAATTCTTGGTGAGTAGGCAAGAATAAATACTTTCGTCTGATTTGTAAACCACAAGACTGTCTTTCCTTGCTGTCATAGATACTTAGGTCTATTAGCAATAATAATGTCCACGTCATGTATGTTGATGAGAAAGAAGAAAAAAGAAAAAAACCACCCAACCCCAAACTTGTAAAGTTGAATAAAATGTGTGCAATTCTTCATATGAAAATTTACAATCTAGAGTTTGCACTAAATCTGAAAGGTGCATCTGTGTGCGCAAAAGACATGCTCTATCTTCTGGAAAATTTAGACCTACTTATTAATATTCATTTAAGAAAGTTCTATATTCGTTTTCTTGGAGGTATCTGGATACTTCCTTTAGAAATTGTAAACAATTAAGTGATACTGGAGTTAGCTTTATTATGAATTAGCTTTATTTGCATAGTGAACTGTTGCATACTTGTTTAAATTCTGTGGAGGCTGCTTTGTTTTTTTCTGTAATCTAAAAAAATGTTGCATTTCGTAGATATTTAATTCACCGAAAGAAAATTGGTGAACCCGTCTTATTATAGCGTTTCTTGAAACAGAAGTTAGTCTTACCTTCAATGAGGTGTTTGTCTCATCGTGGAAAATACAAATCATCTCATTTTCAGTGGTGAAATGAGTGTCTGCAATGTAGCTGTGTATGAGTATCTGTAATGAGTATCTGCAATCTACTTCTCACTTAGACGTTTTCTACTTTTCAGTGTTTTCTCAAGGGCTGAAAAAATCCTCCCTGGAGCTTTATGGCCTAATCTGCTATGGGGAATTAAGGAAAAAGATTGGGGGATGTGAGTATGAGCGACTTAAAATTATTTTTATAAGATAGAAACAGAAGTGTCTACCCTTGAAGTCAACAAGGTCTAGTACAGTTTCACTTTTGAGTTTTTCAGAATTTCTGTTCATTGTATTCCATTGCAGTAATCCATGGTATCACATTACATTTCATTAGATTTGTTTTTTATTTTTCAAGACATGCTTAGTCTGTTGCATTAGTTCCCTTTTTCTTTGACGGATTTCTTTAGCTTTTGCTATCTGCGGAATGCAGTGCATGTAATGCCCACAGATAACAGGTAAATGTATATGCAGCTTAGATTATCTATCCATTTTATTATTCTTGAAAACTAAGCAATTAAATGTATAAATGATACAATTTGCACCCACAATTATTTACGCCTGTGCGTCAATATCTGGGATGGTGCCTTTGCATAGAATCCCAGACTGGTTTGGGTTGGAAGGGACCTCACAGCCCATCCAGTCCCACCCCTGCCATGGGCAGGGACACCCTCCACTAGCCCAGGTTGCCCAAAGCCCCATCCAACCTGGCCTTGAACACTGCCAGGGAGCCAGGGGCAGCCACAGCTTCTCTGGGCAACCTGTGCCAGGGCCTCACCACCCTCACAGGGAAGGATTTCTGCCTCACCTCTCATCTCCATCTCCCCTCCTCAAGCTTCAGGCCCTTCCCCTTGGCCTGTCACTCCCTGCCCTTGTCACCAGCCCCTCTCCAGCTTTCCTGTAGCCCCTGCAGGGACTGGAAGGGGCTCTGAGGTCTCCCTGGAGCCTTCTCTTCTCCAGGCTGAACAAGCCCAACTCTCTCAGCCTGTCTCCATAGCAGAGGTGCTCCAGCCCTTGGATCATCTCCGTGGCCTCCTCTGGCCTCGCTCCAACAGCTCCATGTCCTTCTTGTGCTGGGGACCCCCGAGCTGGATGCAGCACTGCAGGGGGGTCTCACCAGAGCGGAGCAGAGGGGCAGAATCCCCTCCTTTGACCTGCTGGTCATGCCGCTCGGGATGCAGCCCAGGACATGGTTTGCATGGTCTTTATGGCTTCTGGGCTAGAGATCTCTCTAATGTGACTAGCTTGGAGAATGGGCAGAGGAACATGCTCTGTACATGCCAGTCCATGCACGTATACTTTCTTATCTGTGGGTTTTTTATTTGCCCTCAAGCTTTTTGTAGAGCCAGTGTTATAGTGCATCTTCGGCATGTTTTGTTTAATTTGTGAGACATTGAAAATCATGAAAATACTTTCACTTCTTTCTAATGTCATACTAGCTGCAAAGTGAAAAAAGACAAGGAGGCTTTAATGACCACTCAGTTCCTAATAGAATAATGGTATTTTGGCAGATATGTTTTTTTGCTGTATTATTTCCTCACTTGGGATTTTTATTCTGATGCGTCATGGTCGAGACTGTTGTGACTGGTCATACTGACTGTATTCTGTTTGTTCAAAGATCTCCAGTGTGTTAATTCATCTTGGAGAAGCAATTTTGAACTGTTTCATGACAAAGAAGGTGTAGAGGCATGACAGATTGCATTGTCAGTAGAAATAACTATTAGTGTTTCTTCCCTATATCCACATCTTGTCTTAAAAGCATCAACAGACCCTCCTTGCTATGACTGGGAGTAAGGTTTCACACAATCACCATGGCAATGCATACATACTCTCTGCTTCTGTCTTTTTATAACTTTGGTACTTAGTTACGTATTTTACTCACTGTCACTTGGAAAATTCTAGTCTCCAAGACCAAATGGGCTTTAGCTGCAAGCCTCTACACCCAGTTTATGAGAGGTCTGATCTACAGCTAGTGAAAGTTGGTTTTCTCTCTTCCCCACCCTGCCCTTGTGGTGTTCATCCAGTCCCGTCTTCCCAGAAGTTGAGATGACTTATGTAGACCTACCAAGACAGGAAAGCATGTCAGGAATATTTTCAGCATTGCCAGAAGGAGGTTAATTGTTCAGTAAATAGATTTGGGCCTAACTATCATAGAGAGTATAAATCAAGTTACCATAATGTCCATTTAAAAATGTGATGTATAACGCATAGAAGAACAGTGTGGGCTACACGTGCATTTTAGTATTTTTATTTACTTTTTTTTATTGCATTCAGCATTGTGAGGGCTTGATGCTTTTTGGTTATGTTGTGCTGCCTTAGCAACAGACATTGAGCAAGAAGATGAGAAAGCTTTTTTTTTTTAATGCCACAGTGTCAGATTAACTCCCAGCAACCCAAGATGACTGTAGCACCTAAACTAGGGCCATTTAATGCATGGGTAAAATGTAATTTTCATGGTAAGAATCAAGTAAAGCTTGTACGTTATGAAAATAGAAACTTTTGAGCAAGGATATGTTCTAGCATGTTTATGCATCTTAATCCTATGTGAGAATAAAATGTAATACCTGTGAAAAACAAACAGGACACAAAAAAAGGTCATGACTGTATCACTCTAAATTCTAATTCACTGTGTTGTCCTGTTTCTTGTAAAGGTATGGATGACAAGAATGCGGCTAAACTCAATGAGCTCATTCAGGCCGGGTAAGTAAGAACTTATTACTGAAACTCTTAAAACTGGGTTGTTCAGCAGCTTGATTGTTGAGTTGGGCGTCCAGAGTATAGGGGGTATTTTGTAGTTTTTCAGAGTTGTTGTTTTTTCCCCTTTTCCATGAAACCATTAATGTTACTAGTAAGAAACGATGAGTGAAGTTTAAGAATGTAATGAAATGAGAATTCTTTCGAGCAGTTATGGCATTATAACTGTGTTGATTCCCTATAGGGAATATAGTTCATCTCCAGACAGTTCTACCAACAGGGCTCACGAGTCCTGACTTTCAGACCTGAAATGACACTTCCAGTACACCTCAGTCCTCCAGCCGCTTCTGCACCTCCCTGACTTTAAGAACGAGTATTCTCTTTCACTTCATGAAAGAGTTACGGGATTTGGGGGTTCTGTCTTGGCAATGAACTTTTAGAATACAGAAGGGCTTAGAAGTTGCTGTATTACTAGAAATGGGGGAATACCTGATATATTTGTAAGTAAAATTTTCTGAAGTAATTCTGCTTTTAGAATTTGTGTATTCTATAGTGAAATCTCTTTCCAAGGATATCAAGGAGTGTGTTTATGAAACTTTGTTTCTAATTGTAGCAGGTATTGGTTTGTCCTAATCCTGTCTTTAAAAGTGATTTCAAAATAGTAGTATTTTCTGTCTGTTACAGATCCCTTTTTACTTTTGGCATTTGTGCTTTTAGGGTGTGTCATTGTAGCAGACAAATTATTGATAAAGTAAACTTTACTGTGAACAGAAGGAGGAGTTTGCTCACTCAGCAGCTGCTGACTTTTTGACTTTATCTTACATAAAATGAGTATTTGTTGTTGCACCTTTCTATTGTTCACAAACTGAGTTTCCAAATGAGTTTCTTACAGCTTATTAACCTTCATCTCCTGGGAGATGCACTTTGCACAGTGTGCTGTTGTGTTGTAGGTCTTGAATGTGATTATTTATGAAATCACTTGTTCATTCTTTTAACTGCGAAGTTTGAAATAGAAGAGAAATTGCCATTTGGTTTGCGTTTTGTACAGTTAAGAAAATCTTAGTAAGTTTTTCATATAACAAAATGATTCTTAAAGCAAGTTACTACTTTAAATTGAAGCTATTGGTTACAATGGGCCTGGGATGAGCCTTTTACCCCCCTAGTGTCCTGACTATCTCTAGAGTTCAGGCTATAGGCAGTCATTTTGGTCTCTGCGTTGGACTGGAGAGCCTTTCTAATACTGTGTCATCCAAATAGACTAAACCATAATAAATGAGACTGATGACTTTTAGCAAGCTGTAGCATCAGTCTAGCACTTTGCATGATTAGTTCTTCTAATTAATTGTTAATGAGGGCTAATGATTTTTATACAGTCTAAGTGTTTATTCCATAAAAGCCAGTCTTGTATCAAACCATTTTGAATCTTTGCATTTGAAAATATTAATGCTAATCTTCTAACCAAAAACTAGGGTGTACGTAATATTAACATTTTTGGGCGGTTCAGAAATAGTTGCTCTTGTGTAGGCTTTTTGTCTACTGGATGGAAGACACATCTTTGCTTCCCTTTTACTCTTGCATCTCTTACCCCATTTGGCAGGTAAACCTTGTCAATTGAAGGGGAGCAGACTGTGCAGGGAAACAATGTTCACGTTTTTGTCTTCATTACCACCTGGATGTCTGCAGCGTCTGAATTAATCCCCTGCATGTGCAGGGCAGCCTCATATCTCACACAAGCAAACACATTCCATATGTCCCATTAGACGAAACTTTGCATCTTGCTCAGTGATGTTATGATTCTATGATTCCCCTCTCTATTTGTAAGCAGTTCTTTTTCTCAGTTCCGAACGTGTTTCTTTCAAGTGTGATACTCCTCCTTTGAGTTTGATGCGCTTTGTAAGGCTTGTCACTGTGTTGAAAGTCTTGAGTGAAAGCAAATCCAAAGTGATGAAAAATGGAATGTGGACATGTGTTATTTGATAATCTCCTGAAGTGGGTAAACATTAACCTCATTTAATTGGTGAGAAAGGTCAAGAGAGGCTAAGATTGTGGCAATTTATTTGCAGGATGACTCTAGACCCTGGAGTTATACATTCTAATCCAATATTTATTTTCCTTATGTTACACATCATCTTTTCTGTAATAATTACGTGGTGTATGGAAAAACAAATGACCCTGTGAGGTGCTCATAAGAAAACCATATTTAAAATCTTCCTAGTTGAGCTTATAACCCAGGTCACAGATAATAAATAGTGCCTGAAAACGTAATCAACTGACTGTTTCAAGTAATGGCAAAATCTTTGTGTGAAATGTCCCTGTTCGGTCGTTGAAGTTAAGGCCATTCATTGCTATACATCTCTGTACTGAAATTCTTCAGATAGCCCTTAGCCTTTGATACAGTTGGAGTTGGGCAAATCGGGGATCTTTTTGGAAAGTAGATCAAAGTTTAGTTACTTACAAACGCAAGGGGAAGATAAGAATTGTTCTGTGAGCTTTTATAACTGGTCTGAGTAATTTAGCATACTCATGTCAACACTGGCCCACACAAGCTGCTTAAAGAAGTTTTCAGAATCACTAAGCAGGACAACTATGAAACAAAGCTCCCTTAGAAATTACAGGGAGCCTGAATCACTTTCTGCCCGGTCCTTTGTTGCTAGTTTTTTATTACAGCAACAGTGGTGTTGGGTTGTGTGGTTAGGATATACAACAAGAAAGAAAAATTTATGGCAGTATATCAGAACTGCTCAGAAACCGATTTAAATAAACTTAAACCAAAGGGGGTTTGGTTTGTTTCACTTTTAGGGGTGAAACATTTGTATTTACCTCAGGTTTTGCAACAATCTTTACATTTAATTAAAAAACCTATGTTTGAGGAAATAGAAATATTTTCTGGATATCTTTGTACATCTGTAGGATTTGTGGATGAGTTAAAAAAACCAAACCACAACCAACACATAATTAAATACCATAAATATGCAACTGTTAAAGAACAGTACTCCTCAGCGTCTGTTAGCATATGTGGTTTTGCCCCTAAACCTGAGAGGCTCTTAATATCAAGAATAAGAAAGTCTGTTAAAGACAAACTTTTAGCAGGTACTGATTGATCTGTCTGGTTGAGTTCCTGGGTGTGCTTTGTGTGGAGTGATCCTTCATTGCCTTCGATTTCCTTGTGAAAGCTGTTTGGCATGCTGAGGGGGAATTTGGAACTCCCTAAAAATCTTGATAATAAAATAGCAATTCATCCTTAAAAAAACCCCATATATGACAATAATCTTTTTAAGTAGGCAGAATATGCTCTTGATGTGAAGTTATACTAGTAGTTCTTAATGCATATTCAGTAGAATAACTTTTTTTAAGATTTACTGTTTTCTGCATTTGGAAACATCCAGGATCTAGGTAAGAGAAGAGAAGGAAATAAGTAAAACTTATTCAATAAAAGAAATAAGCTAAGAGTAGTTCTGTTGCAGGCTGTCTCCTTTTTACTGTGCTTTTCTTTGAAATTAATAGAACTATTCCAGCCATGGATTTCAATCAGGGAACTATAGTCTCTAAATATATCTAATTTTATATTAGTTTAAAGAATAACTTACTATCAGACTCTCCCTAGGTTGCTTGAAGCCCATCATACTTTATGAAAAAAGGAATTAGGGGAATTATTCCTGACTCTAAGCAGAACACACAAATCTAGAGAGCTGGGATGTTACTTCTCAGATGTATTTTAGGGAACAATGCAGATAAAAGTATTGATTGCTGTAGTTGTGGAAGAGTGCTGTAGTACCAGGGTGAAAACTTCCACGTGAAGTTTTTAATATTGTTTTGTCAAATTTCTGTGTGTTCTGTGTTCCTTCATGCACTAAACAGTGTACTTGCTAACTCCTAAACTGTGCTGTTCTCACTCAGTACTTGGGGAATACGGTAGTTCCTGCTCCTCTTTTAGGGCTTTCAGCAGTTTTGCATTTGTTTTCTTTGCTCCAATATGATTTTTTTCCTAGATTTTTTTAATATCTTTTCCATCGTATACTTATGTTTTTCACACTTCTTTTCTGGCTTTTATCCTATGTTTTGGTGGGTGGTTTTTCCCCCCCCCCTCTGCCTTTTAAGCACAGATACAAATGCAGCCAGGAGCTCATGATGCTGATGTGTTGTTCATTTGTGAGCTGCTCTGTGGTGGTAACAGATAGTGGGTATCTGCAACCCAAGGTGCATCTGAGCAGGTGGTAGACAAATTGATCAGGAACAGCTGCCAGGAAGCCTGACTCAATAATAAATGCGTTATGACCAACTGGTTAGGCTCTTCAAGAGAAATAGAAAATACAAAAAATGAACAGCACTGCTTTCCTTCTTCCTTCTTTTTCTTGATCAAATTAGCCGAGATGTTCTGTGTGGATCAAATAGCCTTTGGGGCATTCAGGCCCTTCTTTTAGTTGCCCTCAAGTCGTGAGATGGAACAATTTCTGTGAAGCTTGTCTGGTTTATATAGTCATATCAGTTAATCTAAGAAGAAATAATGTTTCCCCCCACAAGCCCCATCTCACTTACACCCTTACACTATCAAAGTTACGATAATAATAAAAATAATGCTATTTCTTATTGCATGCAGCTACTTTAAGGGCCCATTTGATAAAAAGGTGTTGCATTAGCTAAAATCAAGATGCAGGAAGAGAGTCTCAGCTCACAGAAGTAGTCGAAAGAATTTGCTGTCCTAAAGTAGTGTAAATTTGCAATTTAGCAACCTGTTTCAAGGTGCATTGAGTTAATGGATTTGTTTTCAGTGGCTTTAGTGGATTTTGTATGAGGCTACTATGAAACTGTGTTTTCCACTATAACAGGAGGGAACATCTAGGCATGTTTTCACTAAGCAAGGAAATAATTACAGTGGTTCTGATTGCTGTAATGGTGTAATTAACTCATTGCAAGAACAAGGAAGGCAATAATTTTGGCATTTTCATGCAGCAGCTTTGTTTTCTGTACAACTGTTCTATGACATTCCCAGAGCCTGCATTTTCTAGCAGTTGAGTGCATTCGTGCATCCTATCATCTCAGCATGAGCTTTATAAAATTACTTGCTGTGATGAATGGCGTTAGCAGTAATAGAGTAAAGATACCTTTGGTTGAATCACTGGAGATAAAGGCAGAAGGTATTTGTTGTGAATTGTGAGCATGTTACTTCAGCGTAAAATTATGTAACAGGAACAGTGATTTTTAGGAGCTACAATAAAAGTTGGAAGACTTTTAGTCCTCAGTTGTTTTTTCAGTTCCTGTTCTTGGAGGAAATAATAATAAGCACTGGACAAAGAAATGTAATATGTATCTAGAGTTTTAATTAATTGCAAATTCTCTAGGTTCTGCCAAATCCTTCAGGGTTTGTACCAGGCATTTTTATACTAGGCTGCTGCTTCTGACTGTTGGCTGAGACCAAAGTTTGGGCTTGTGAAGAAAAGTGGTGATTCTCCACCTAAAGATTCAGACCTAAGTGAGAAGTTGTCCAAACATTAATCAGCTGAATTTGAGAGCAGCAGAATTTGTAGTCAAGTTTCCTGTCTTTATACATTGCAGTCCCCATTAACTTGACATAAGTGAGTTTGGGCTGATTCATACTGATATTGTCCTGACTTGTATTGAGACTTGGTTTATTTACACATTAAAAAACAAACAAACAAACCCAAATAACCCCCAACCAAACCATGGTGCTAGCTGCATATGATTAAACTTATTTTCAGGAGATTTGTTTTCTAAAAAAATGCTGATTTTCTGATAAAATCATATCTACATCTTAATATAAGACGATATTGACCCTCATGCGTTAGGGCCAAGGTGTCCATTGCAAAGACCAGGAGGAAGTTTTACCTTTCACTGTTACCTCACGTCACTGGCTAGATATCCACGTGTGTTACTATGTCCTCCTCTAAGAGTCTTTCCATGGGCAGAGATTGATCGTTGCACTTGGTGGCACCCACTGTCTGCAAACAATTCGAGTTTCCAACAATTCGAGTTAGGGTTAAGTTGAAAGAGGAAAGGTAACAACAATGCTTCTGTTACACAGCTATAGCAGATGTGGAAATAGGAAGCACCATTTAAAACCAGGCAAGTAGCTCTTGGGTCTTCTTTTATTTTTTTCTTAAGTAGTACTATTGCTAGTTTCTCCTCAGCACTTGAGAGCCTTCTCTTTTCATTAGTTAAGCCATCACTACTTCTGTGTCAGAGCTTGTTAGGCATGAGGGCTAAAGTAACATGCTCCCTCTAGCTTCTGGTAGCTCAGTGCAGATTGAGGAAATCTACCCTTCCAGTCTGGGGATATTCTGAATCTGTAGAAGTTCACAGCTTAGTAACTGAAACTTTTAAGCTGCTCACCTCGTCAAGCCCATCATCTCGGGTCTGGCTTCACTTCTGCTGCACTCTTGCGAGTTTCCCTCTTACCAGTGTAGGAAAGGGCTCTTTCTGCCTGATGTTGTCTTCCTTACAGCATAGGAAAAAATAAAGTCCTGCTGTAGGAATGTTGTCTATAATTTCTTTCATTTTACTTGCAAGGACTTCGTTCAGTCCTGCTGCTTCTATGCTAGTTGATCCTTATTGCTTGAAGTAATAGGTAGTAACTACTGCCATCAGTAACTTTGGTCTCAATGCCTGCCTTTTAAGCCTCTAGAAAGAAAAGAGGGCTGATGGAGTGAAGAAATCACATAGTTCCACTGTGTGAAAACAAAAACGTCCTCTTGCTTTTAAGGATCTTTATAGCCGTTAATGTGGTATTGAAGCTAAAAGCTGGTGAAATCATACTGTAAAAGGTACATTGCTCAGATTCTTGCACAAGCTGTTAGACCTCATTTCTGCAACAGATGTGGTGTTGATACTCCAGAATGGAAGACTCTTCAAAAACTTACAGACTTTTTCTTCCCGTAATTAAGAGTTAGGAGTATAAAGAGGAAACTAAAGCAAAACCACTCGTCTTTTACAAAGACGCTGTCTCTGAGGGTACTCTTCAACTGAAGTAACATAATTCTGGTCCACTTTATAAAGTAGCAATCCCTCCTTAAGTAGGCAGTGTTTCATGAAAGTCTGGAAGAGGGGGGTCACAAGACTAGCATTTCTATAATGAAAGTAAGGTGATAGAAAAGATTGCTCTTGTGAATCTACACTGCAAACCCTTACATTTCTTTGTTCATTCCTACGGCCATGATTGCATTAGACAGTCCCTAACATGTATGTGTTCACAAACTTTTGTTAATGGTGCCTGTAAATTCTCTTCCAATGTATTCAGGGCTACGACTGTTCGTTACAAAGGCAGAAACCTTCGTATCAAAGCTCCAATGTGCAGGGCTTTGAAGAAACTCTGTGATCCAGATGGTAAGTAAGAGACGCTGGAACGTGAAAGGGTTGTAACAGATGGTTGGAAGAATATGAGAGAAAGTAGGCCTGGTTTGATGTGTACAACACTGGCAGGGGATTTTTGTGCTATTTCACATTTGTGTTGGGCACAGATATGTCCCTGTTGTCCTACTTATCCTGTTTGCTTGTATAATCCCAATAACTTTAGGACCCACCCAGCTCTCTAAGTCTTGGTGTATGTCACTAACTAAATTGAAAAGGAAATAGCTATACCAGACAGGATCACTACTGCTTTGCTAGTTGTACTTTCATTCTGTGAAGTTTAGTCCCTTGTGCCAGTGAATAAGCAGTAGTATGTTGTTTAGCATTGAACATTTTAGATGGTTTTTACCCTCTCAAGTTGAGCTATGTGTGACTTTTGTGGGTTTTTTCCCTTCCTCTTCCCCCCCCCCCCCAAGTAGGATCAATGCAGTTTAAAGGTCTGAAATACTGTACTTCTCCAAAGTTTCCAGCCACCTGATTTTGACACTGCTTGCTCAACTGGAAGCTCCAGTACCACTGCAGTGTCCAAAGAAAAAAAATAAGCATATTGGAACAGGAGGTAATCTAGGGAAGCAGGCTCCACTGGTGAAGCTGAGCTGCCTAAGTTGTCTGCAGGTGATGCTGGTGTCTGATGCTTTTTTTTCATGTAACTGAGCATATAGTGTTCTGACGGAGTTGTCCTTGCTTTGACCCATGCCCTTTGTGCTTCATCTCCCTTCAGGCGTTAGTGATGAAGAGGACCAGAAGCCGGTACGTCTTCCTCTCAAGGTCCCCGTGGAGTTGCAGCCACGAAATAATCACGCATGGGCTCGAGTGCAGAGTCTTGCCCAGAATCCACGGCTTAGGTAATGAACTGATTGTGGTGCTCAGAATAGAATAGGGAAATAGTGAGCAGCATTCTAGCATCTTCCTCCCTCTCCAGGGTTCTCTTTGCCAGCTGGGCAGTTCATCTTTGATAATGCAGTTTGCCTACACGTACTTACTCCGAAGGCTTTGTCTAACCAGAGTGCACGATTGTTGTAAGCATGACATACCAGTCTTGAAAATTAGATTACCAGTGTTCTTTATATTTTTTTCATTTAAGTAATGATAGGAACTACTAGAGTAGTAGTATAGATGACTCTACTTTGTGCCACTTAAACACAGTTGTCCGAGCAGAGTGCAGGTAAAATGCAGATATGCAGCGCTAATTCTACTAAAATATGTATTGAATGTACCATGAGACAGAGGTACAGGGGAGGGAAATAAAACAATGGTCAGAAGCACCTGCGCCAAGACTCTGAACATGACAATTGCAACATGGTGTTACTAGCAGAAAGGAAGTTATTTGTAGCTTAATCTCCCCCCTGCAAAATGTAGTTGGTGCTGTTGTTTCAGTGTCATCAATGGCTGTTCATCCTAGTACTTACATCTAGTCCAAAACTCAGGGCAGAAAACACGAGGCCTCTGTGATGTTGATTGCTCTTTCAAACAGAGTACTTCAGTATAACGATCAAAGATCACGCAGGGAGGAGAATGAAGATTTTTAGCATTGTGTTTATTTTGTAAAATGCTTTGAGACAAAAAGTAATTGTGCCCCTGTTTCTCTTTCTTTCTATGCTACTTGTGGTTGCTTTGTTTCTTGCCTTCACTTTTGCAATTTAGCTAAATCATGCCATCTTTTCCTATCATCTGGAGAAACTAGTATCTTGAATCATGGCAGTCAGATTTATTTGATAGGCTTTTAGATCTCAATTGTGAGTTGCCTAGATTTTAAAGTTCCGGGATAACATATGGTTTTATTTTTTCTTGGGGTTTTTTTTCCTAGAGCTTGGGAGTGGTAGGTGTGTCTCTGTGCTTGTATTACAGAATGCCAGTTTCTTCCCTTAATTCTCATTCTAGCCTTGAGGCTGTGATTTGAACTTCCAGTGGTTTTTTTTCTCTATTCCCCTGCTTTGTTTATCTTGCATATAGGATGATTGTGGAGTTACATCGGAAGGTCTCCAGCCTCATTGAGTTCCTGAAGCAGAAGTGGGCTCTCCATGAAGTGCGTATTGTATCCTTTTTCTGCTTAGTCTGTTCTGTATGCTGTGTCCTGGGAGCAATTCCCTTCCTATTCTAAGTTCATTTTTGCATTGGAAATGTGATTCTACCTCATAAATTAACCAACCCATGCTTAGTAAAGGTAGAGGTCAGTATCTCAGCATCACTAATGGAGTCTTTTGTGGGAAATCCCATAATATTCTACTTTTACCTCAACTCTTCTCTACTATGATCCCCTGAAAAGCTAGTTAGTAATAAATGAAGCTCCCTGCCTTTATTTAATTTCCTTAAACAGTGTGCTTAGTTTGTTTCGTTATAGATGGGTGCCCACCGTAGAAGCCTGGATAATAACTCATGATTTTGTTTCCAGTTTCAGCAAAGAGACTAAGGACAGATCTTTCCACTTGCTTTATGCAGTTTCACCAAGTGAAGGCTTAAGCTTGTCTAGGTTGCTGCTGCTACATGTTATGTATCTATATGTTGTCGGAGCCATACAATGTTAGAGGTATCCCTACCTCTGAACTTTGATCCACGGAGTAGAATGATTTGTGAGCCATTCTGTTCTCCTCTTGACTGGTATGCTGTATCCTGTTCTTAGTCCTTTAATTCAGGCTTTTCTTTTTAATTTGTGAGCCTGGAAGAAGTAGCAGCATAGCACTTGAAACTTAGAAGGATGTCAAAAGATGTAAAATGGAGGTGACTGCACAGAAAGGGGAGTCTGCTTTGATATGCAGTGACGTTGGGGTTTTTTGCTTGGTTTTGTTGGGGTTGGGTGGATTTTTTGCAATTACCGTGGTGTGTGAAGCAGATATAAGGAATTTTGTCTGGAACAGAGATGTAGTTTGTGCTTGTAGTAGGTCTTCAGTGTAGTCCTTGTCACCACAAAATGACTTAGACTTAATTTCTGATCATAGTCTTCATATCTATTACAAATAAAGAACATGTCCTTGATCAGCACCCCCCCTTTTTTTTTTTTTTTTTTTTTTTTTAACTTACAAAATAGGCTACCAGGTGCTTGTTTGGAAGGAACAGATGATTGTTGTATTCTTTGACACATCTTTTTTAGCGTAAAACACTAGAAGAACGGCAGCTTCAAGACTCCAGAGACTCAGAAACAAGAGGCAGCTTCTCAGAGGAGAAAGTGATGCTCCATCTCTTTCCAGGAGAGAATTGTACGCTCACTCCGCTGCCTGGGGTAGCCAGAGTGGTCCACTCCAAGGCTTTCTGCACAGTGCATTGGCAGGAAACTGGCAAATGCAAACAGAACACAAAAGACTCTCATTTACTACCCCCTGCACAAATCCTAGGCATACAGAGTGGTCAGGGGACAGCTAGGGGACAGCTAAAATACACACGGGGAACAGACGGTAAGGGTGTTGGAAGGGCAGAGAGCACTACAGAGTCAAACAGAACCTCTCAGCCCACAGCTGAAGTTTCTGCAAGCACTGAAGATGGCACCCCAGAGACTGGCGTGGTGGAAGGAACAGCCTCAAATCTTGGCATCACTAATTCTCTCCAAAAAACACCTTCTGGACTTCAAGATCCAGGAGGGAACCACGAAAAGCTGAGCTCAGTGGCCTTCTGTGTGGATGGCAGGGAGGCCCTGGCTAGTGACCAAGCAACTGTGCTACCGTCGTGCAGCACAGCTTGTGCTTGCAGTAAGATCCCTGATGTGGAGGAGCTCTCTCTGCTCGATCCATTCCCACGGTACATGAAGTCCTGTCAGGACCTGATCGTCCCAGAGAAATGTTCTTGCACAGACAAACTGCATGGGAAGGACTCTGCTCCAGCAGCTGGTGATACTTCTCCAGTGGCTTTTCCAAGCGGGAGGAGCACAGAGACATCTGACTCCTATTCACAGCTACCGAGAGGTGGTGTGGCTTCACCCGGCAGTGGCCCATCCAGATATGAAACTCAGGCGAGCCACAGCCAGGGCCAGCAGATTGATGCTTGTACCAAGGATATAACAGATGCAGTAATGGAGGATTCTCAAGAGAAGCTGGGCTCCTCATTTCCACCTCCACCTCAGGGACAATCTAGTACAAAGTCTCTCAAGGATGACCCAAGCCGGCTCTCTCAACAGGTTAGAGAAGAAGGATGGAGTCTACGAACTTCTGAGAGCCTTACGCTGGCTGAAGTCTACCTCATGATGGGCAAACCGAACAAGTTGCAGCTGGAGTATGACTGGTTGGCTGTGTTGGAGCCAGAAACCCAGGATGCTAGGGAGCAAATGCCCGAATCAAGTGCTGTTTCTGCATGTACCACCTTTCACAAGCAGAGACTCCTAAACTGCCTTTTAAAACTCATCTCTACTGAAGTCAATCCCAAACCAGTAAGTAGCTCTTGTTCATGCTCCAGATGCTGAACTCTTATTTGATATGGGGAATAATTGCCCAGTCCCGTTTTCATAGTAAATCAATGACCAGCCTTGTCAAGATCTTGGAGATTCCCATGTTTAAAAATACCAAAACAACACAACCCAGCTTGCTACAGAGTGGACTTTTTCTCAATGTGCTGCATTTGCTTTTTACACTGCCTTTTACTTTCTGGTTTGCTGTGAATCTCAATGGTATTACAGTGAACATTTGATGTGACTACTGAAAAGATCAGTCATGAGGTTAGTTTAGGTAGGTGCCTTCTATTCTCTCAGGTTCGTAGAACCATAGATCAGCCCAGGTTGAAAGGGACCTCGGAAGATCATCTGGTCTAACCTTTTTTAGGAAATGGAGTCTAGATGACAAAGGGAGCCTAGATGAGATTAATATTCCACATGAAAACCGCAACCCTTGATTTCCAATGTTTATGTAGTTCAAGTTACACTAAGTGTAAGTGTGAAAATAATTTATTTCTTTGGGATAGCATAGCCAATATAACAGTGCCTGCCACAGTGATTTTTTTATTTTTTTTTTTTTTAAAAGTTTCCAGACTCTAGGATAGTTGTTTAACAGATCCAGAAAAATACCATCTTCTTTAGGCAGACAGCTGGGAAGGAACTTGCTTTCTTTCTTGTTCATTGTAAACCAAAGTTTAAGATCTGCCCCCGTGCTACCTGGGCAGCCATTCCCACCTAGTGCAACTGATTGAAACTTAGTAAAACATATTTTTAAAGACCAAAAAGACACTGAATTCAATAGATTTGACTGAATTATTGTGATGGAGATAAAATGAGTTAAAGATACCATTGGCATTGTATTTCAGCATAAGATGCAAATGTGTCACTGTTCCCAAACACACAAAGTTCTTTGATCTTTCTTTGTTGGTGCAGACTTAACCCCACCCTGAAGCTCCTTTTGATCCTGATTTTTGTAGACACAGAATGTAGGATTTTATAAATTTAAAACCATCTTTGCTCAGATCCAGCTCCAGATATAGACTTTGTTTAAAGTATAAAGACTGGTCTGACATCTTGCAGACCTGTGACAATGACTCTTTCGGCATCTACTTTTACTTCTCGTGACACATGTAACAGCCAGGGATGACATGATTAAACAATCACAAACTAGAAAGAAAGACATCTCCTTAGACTTGGGGGGAAAGGGATAGAAGCGAGGGGAAAAAACCCAGCAGTTATTATTTGCAAGTTTCTTCCTGTCACTTTAGCACTCTTAGTGTCTTAATCAAAGTAGTGTAGTGCTCCTGCAAAATAATGGAGCTCTTTCAGATATGTTCCATGTTGTACATCCCAATAAAAAGAAGTAACGTAACCTTTTATTTGTCAAGTACCACGTTATACTCACTGTTTCTCAGAAAGAGTTCGTGTTGTGGCAGTGAATGTTGTGGGACTGATACATATTCAAGAGGCAAGGGTGATACTTACTGCCTAATTGAAAGTACTGTAGACTTTTTGAAAGTTTTGTCTCTTAAATTCTCTGCATTTCATCAAACAAGGACAGGAACCACAGTATTTTTGCCACAGGATACTTTAACAGAGGAAGGTTTGATTGCCTAGATCCCTGCTATTTTCTCAAGATAATATGTAACAAAGCCAAAATGGCCAGCTGTGCTGTGCTTGGTTCCTTTAAATGAAGATTACCAGCATAAAAGAAACTGTTAGAAAATTGTGTTGCAGTCAAGTGTGGGTGCTAATTTTATGCCTTTGGTTGCACACAAATTCCTTCAAAAGGGAGCATTTTGTGGAAAAGCATCTAAACAATTTAACAAAATAACTAGGTAGGCCTGGAGAGTTAGTAAAGCACCTTGCCATGTGCCTCTGCTTATTGCTGTGTTACAGTATGAAATAGGAGAAGGGATGTGGGGAAAAAAATCAAAACTACTTGTCTCTACTCGATTAGATTGATTGATTACTTGTCCAGGTATACTTCCAACCAGAGGAGCCCTCTGGATGGTTAAGAGTTCATGAAGTTTTTTGAATTAAAAACAACATCTCTTTCATTACTGTGACAAATCGGGGGGGTGGGGGGTGTGTTGTCCCTGCTTTTATCCATACCGTGTGAAGCTTGTTGAGCGTTAACCCGATTGTAACATAAATTAATGACGTTGAACCAATGACATTTAACACTGCTAAATGCACAGGAAGGGAATTTCAGCTGCCCGCTTCTGAAGTAGAATGAGGTTAACAATATATTTGTTGTAACAATACACAATATTCATTTAATGTGCGTGCATTTTTAGATGCCTGAGATGAGCTCAGTTGCCACATCACCCATAAAGCCTGCTCAAGAGGAGCAGTCACTGACTCCTCCAGGAAAGGTGATTGCCATCAGCACCAGGAGTCCGGGTTGTGCACGAAATCAATCTGCGCTTCGCAACAACAAGACTTTTTCTCCTGGTGTTGCTTCCAGCTCCTCAGGTGAGTATTCAGAAAAATCCATTTCAAGAGATCAGACCATTGATACCTCATACTGGGATGAGTACATCCCAGTAATGTAACACTGGAGAATGAGTGTCCTTACTCTTATGAACTTAACTGTTTCAGAACATTGGTACGCTCTTAATTTGCTTTAGGTTTGTCCTAGATTCAGTACTTCTGGGAATCTTGAAAAACAATGCACATCAATAATACAGTTTACAGTCCAGAAGAACTCTCATGAATCACGCTTACAGAAGATGCTAGCATTTGTTAGGAGCTGACTGATACAGGGTATGGGATTTCAAGAGAGTGAAGGCTTACAGAGCAAGAATGTAAATATATGGTGCAAAGTTTGTTGATAAAATAATTACTGAAAATGTTCTGTGCCATTCTGCCATTATAAAATATGCAATGATTATGAATTATCTTTTCTTTTAATAGAAGGTACAGTTGCTATAACTCGTAAGTCCTAGCCATGCAGACCAAGAATTTCAGTTCGATTCTTCAATCCAGTTGCATTTGCCAGCAAATATTTTATGAGTTTAGAAAAATCTGAGAAGGTGTCAGGGTTACTGGGAACAGTTGTGATTCTTATGCTGTCCTTTTCACGCCCATGCTGCTTAAGAAGCAATGGACCATGAGCAATTTAACTGATGCTGTAAAATATACTTGGCACTCTGGGAGGTTTTCATTTTAAAATGGCATTGTAGCAATTTCATCTTTGTCTAAAGCTTCATTATGCTTACTTGCAGATAAGCAAGTCTTATACTTAAATATCTAGTAAAAAGCCAATAATTTAATAGGCTTGAAGGGCATACCTTTTTAAATCAGGTTTGGAAGTAGAATTCAAATTGTAGGCAACTCCCTTCTGAGGGGAACAGAGGGTCCGATATGCCGGACAGACCCTCCTCTTAGGGAAGCCTGCTGCCTGCCTGGGGCCCCGGTTAAGGACATGACTAGGAAACTCCGCAGCCTGGTACAGCCCTCGGACTGTTACCCACTGCTGCTCTTCCACGTGGGTGGGGATGAAGCCGCAATGCGTAGTCCAAGAGCGATCAAAAGAGACTTCAGGGCTTTGGGATGGTTACTGAGGGAATCTGGTGCACAGGTTGTTTTTTCCTCTCTCCTACCAGTTGCGGGCAGCGACATTGGGAGAAACAGATGGAGCCAGTCTTGCTAGTGTCAGATGGGATTCACCTTTCTCAGAGGGGGAAGAGGGTCTTTGCCCAGGAGCTTGTGGGGCTCATTGACACAGCTTTAAACTAGACTTGAGGGCGGAGGGAGATGGTATCAGGTTTGCCTGTGACAAGCTGAGGGATGAGATGCCAAGGTCAGAGGGACAGTGGGGTGCTAACGAGAGCCATCAGCCTGTTGCTCAGAGATGTGCTGGACACACTGCAGCACACTTCAAGTCTTATGGAGATGAGCCAGGGGCTTCTGAGGTGATAGGAGCCAACAGGGAAACTCCAGTGAAATCCCTCAAAGGCATTCTAGCCGCTCCAGCCAGTCAGCCAGCTTCATCTGGACCCAGCTGAAATGCACATAGCATGGGGAACAAACAAGAGGAGTTGGAGACGTGCACATGCCTGGAGGACTGTTGATCTTATTGGCATCACAGAGACACGGTGGGATGGCTCCTATGACTGGAGTGTTGGGATGGAAGGATACAGGCTCTTCAGGAAGGACAAACAGGGGAGACAAGGAGGGGTGTCATCTCTATGTCAGTGACCAGCTGGAGTGCAATCCCACTTCCTGTGTTGCTGACAAAGATGTTAAGCAGCGCTGGTCCCAATACCAACCTCTGAGGAACAGCACTCGTCACTGATCTCCACTTGGAGATCCATCTGTCAAATCCATAAAGATGAGGTTTGAGACTATCTAAGGAACCTGAAAGTGCAGAAGTCCATGGGATCTGATGAGGTCCATCCATGGGCCCTGAGGGAACTGGCAGATGAAGTTGCTAAGCCACTATCCATCATATTAGAGAAGTCATGGCAGTCTGGTGAAGTTCCCACTGGCTGGAAAGGGGGAAACATAACCCCCATTTTTAAAAAGTGAAAAAAGGAAGATCTGGGGAACTACAGACTGGTCAATCTCACCTCTGTGCCTGGCAAGACCATGGAGCAGACCCTCCTGGAGACTATGCTCAGGCACATGGAAAATAAGGAGGTGACTGGTGACAGCCAACATGGCTTCACTAAGGGCAAATCATGCCTGACAAATTTGGTGGCCTTCTACGAGGGGGTTACAGCGTTGGTGGGTAAGGGAGGAGTGACTGACATTTTCTACCTGGACATGTGCAAAGCATTTGACACTGTCCTGCATGACATCCTTGTCTCTAAATGGGAGAGATATGGATTTGACGGATGGACCACTTGGTGGATAAGGAATTGGCTGGATGGTCACACTCAAAGAGTTGCAGTCAATGGCTCAATGTCCAAGTGCAGACCAGTGACGAGTGGTGTACCTCAGGGGTTGGTACTGGGACCAGCACTGTTTAACATCTTTGTTGGCAACATGGACAGCGGGATCGAGTGCACCCTCAGCAAGTTTGTCGACACGCTGGAGGGAAGGGATTCCGTCTAGAGGGACCTTGACAGGCTTGAGAGGTGGGCACGTGTGAACTGCATGAAGTTCAAGGTGGCCAAGGGCAAGGTCCTGCACATGGGTCAGGGCAATCCCAAACACAACTACAGGCTGGGTGGAGAATGGATGGAGGGCAGCCCTGAGGAAAAGGACTTGGGAGTATTGGGGGACCAGATCCTCAACAAGACCCAGCAATGGATGCTGGCAGCCCAGAAGGCCAACCGTGTCCTGGGCTGCGTGTCCAGCAGCGTGACCAGCAGGTCAAAGGAAGGGATTCTGCCCCTCTACTCCACTCTGGTGAGACTTCCCTGCAGTACTGCATTGTGTTGGGTTTGCATGGCAAGGTTTTGGTAGCGGGGGGGGCATCTACAGGGGTGGCTTCTGTGAGAAGCTGCTAGAAG